GCCCTCACCTCAGGCCCCGGCTCCGGGGGGAACGGGCTCCGGGGGCTCCCCTGTTACAACACCTCTACGTGAGCGTCCCTGGGGGGCAAAACCAGACAGCCCCAGGAGCGGTGAGGCTGCCATACGGGGTGGGGGTGCTGTACCTGGGCAGTGCTGAGGTATCCTAATCAGCTCCCACCTGTGGCCCTGGAGGGGGGGGCGGGATTTCAGATCCTCCTCAAATCCTGCTGCAGCCACTACCCAAAATTCAGGTGTTGGCATTTAAGACAAAAAACCTCCCCTACATCACTGCTCTGAAGGTCAGTCTGCGAGCATCCTGAAGAGAAGCTCAATTTTGTGTCTTTTAGGTAAGATTTGGTAATGTTTTAAAATCAGATTAGTGAGTAAGGAAATAGTTGATATAGGCTTGAAGGAGCCAATCTTTCATCTTTGAGAAGTGTACTCAATTTTAAAATTACACTTGAAGAAAAAGATGGTTTTCTTAATGTATGTTATGCTTTAGCTTTTGAATTTTTTTCTCCTGGGTTTCATACACTGTTTTTTTCTTTTATTGTTATTTTATGAGGTGTTGATCAACCATTATCTCATTTTGCCATTATTTTTTGCTCATGGAATAATGGTTAGGATTTGAGCTCTAAGGCAATCTCAAGTAACTAAAGGAAATGAGTTCTGGTTAAGGTTTGCTTGCATTTGACAGTTTAATTCCATCTTGTGACTTTTATAAAAAGTATTAAGTGAAACTTCCCATTGCTAGGAGCAAGTAAACATTGTTTACTTATAATATTTATGTAACAGTGCTGAAATACAGGGTGAAACACAAAAGAACTAATGCTGTGACGTGAAATGTGTGTTATCCTGGGCTAAAGGGCTTATTTAGCTAGCGGGCAATGCCACGTTGAGGCAACTGAGCTAGTAGGAGTACTGGAAGTTGTTGTCTTAATATTTTTGGGTTAGTTGATGTTTCTTGTAAGTGGTATCTTAGCTCACGTGAAGCACGGGGCAAGCTTGACTATATCTGTGCTGCATGATACTGTGTCTTTAGTAATGCTCTGCAAAAACCCTGCGCTTTAGCTAAGTCTTACGTACGTTAATTCAAAGCACCTAAGTATCTCTATTCCTGATATATAGTTAGTAATTTCTTTGAAGGAAAGGAATGGACACTGAACTGGCAGCAAGCAGCCTGAATTGATAGGTTTTTAAATTGAAATTGTGGTAGCATCAAAAGTTAAAGTCAATTTCACATCCAACTGGATAGAAATAATAGGCCTGAAGAGGTTATGTTTGTCTAAGTTACGTATACTTTTCACATGGAAGTATCTTTTACTTGAGCAATAACAGAGTTTTTTGTGTCGGGAAAACTCCTGAAAGGACTTCAACAGGACTGTTGTTTTTGATACTAGTTGCTGTCAGCTGTGAAAGGCACTTAATATGCTAAAAGAGAATGTTAGTAGATAAAAATTTTTAACTTCATGGTCTATGTTAATAATTTTTTTACTATTGGTCTTACCTTGCACAGTTCTTTCTAACAGTGCTTAACAACTGACAAGGTAAGAATATTTGCCATGATGTTTAGAGGTAAGTCCACCTGATTTTTGCATCAGAGGAGATCCCACAGAGGAAAAGATAGTTAAAACCATCTTTTGTTAAGTAGTCTTTCAGGTGTGATGGGGAAAAATTGTGAGATACTTTGTTGCTCTGAGCCAGCTAGGTTTGGGAGAAACTGCAAGTTCATGTAGTTTTAATCAGATTGGGATGGAAGTTATTTATCTATTTATTTATTTATTAACAACATGGAATTAATGGGCCATTAGTGAACTATACATCAAGATCAGTATCAGCCGTGGAACAGATAAATGATGTGCTTGCAAAACATCAATAAATACCTACGATTTTCTAAAGACCCTTCTAGAACTAATCACAGAAAGTTTAGATCTTGCAGGTGCTCCTTCCCCCTCTTCCTCTTCTCAGTGTGTGAGGAGTGGTTAGCATTTTGAATTTTCAGAATTCACATTTTTAGGAATAATTTTTAGAAACCTCACTAGAGTGTGCTTCTTTTTTGTAACTATTCAGATTTGGGTTTGGTTCACTCCTTGTCATTGAAAGTTTTGGAACTTAAAACTAATTTGTGTTTTTTATGTAGAAGCACAGCATTATCTTAGAAGGCCCTATAGAATTAGATTCTAACTGTTTGGTGCTACCCTGCATGAGGTACTTCCAGAAGTAGTATCTCGGCCAGTTTTTTTTAGGAGGCATTTCTTTGATTAGTTTGAGGACTTCAAAACAGCAGAAAGTAAATTTGTGAGCACTGGAATTTTTTTTTTTATATATGTATATGGTAGAATTTCATACCTGAAGACCATTTGAACAATGAAACTTCATGAAAAAATGTTTGACTAACATCTAGTGAAAGTATCAGTTTGCAGTATACTGCTTTTCACAGCTGAGGGGTGAAATAAATGTTCGCTTGTGAAAGTACTGCTTTTCCCAAAAACATTGTGCTCACATTTAAATAGCTAAGAATTGAGCACAAAATGCCATTTTCTTAGTGACTCTTGATTTATTTTTGTACTCGTTCAGTATTGTACCCTGTTACAGAATGAAAGTCTACTCTCTTTGTGAAACACCTTTCTGATAATAGTATGTATTTGGTATAGCACCTAACGCTCCTTAGGGTAAACTGTCCTTTGTAATCTAAGCTCCTGCAATTCAGTCTCTGCTTTTCAATAGACATTGTCCCACAGATGCTGGCATGATCCTCTCAGTCCGCTGCATTCTGGTCATAGGTTCTTTATAATATAGAATGTCTCTGATTTTTATGTGTGGTATGTGCCTTATTTTTTAAATAATAGTGCTGCTCAGAAAACGAAAGTACAAAACAATGTAAAGTTGTTTGCATATTTTCCATTGTTTTTTATTTATTTGTTGAATAATAACAATGTGCAACAGACAAAAGTTAACGTTGGATAAGTGGACTTTGGTTTTAGAGGAGTAACCTTCTTTGTTCTGATACCTTAATAAAATAGTACATATCTCACTATCATCAGTGTTTTTATTATGAAGATGTATTCGCTTGTTTAGTACAATTAACATGCTGGGCCAGACACACTTTCCCATCTCAACTGGCATGTTGGAGGCAGAGGAGCAGTATTACTTCAGTTCCTTTGTGTTGATTCTTCCAAAAGGCAATGCTTCCTGGATTAATTTCATCTTCCCACCTTCTCTTGTATTGTGATGATGGAAAAAGTACTTTCCAGCCAGAAACTACTAACAGCTACTGCAGGTCCAAAAAAACCCCACCCCAAATACTATTCAAACTAATAGGTGAGAAGCCAGAAATGCTATTGTGTCATTTGATTAGACAAAATTATCTGCAAAAATACATATATACCATTCATAGACTTTGAAAAGTTTTCAGTAATATTTGATGACAATAAGTTTATTGCATTCATCACAATTTTTTTTGTTTTGAAATTTTTTATTTACGTGCAAATAATCTTCCTCGCGACATCTTTCTGTTTCATCTGATGTACAAAATTATCTCTGTAGATTAGTATGATGTCTATGATTGGTTGCAGAAACATCTAATAACTGAAATTCTACGCTGGTGTCTTTTAAAAAGCGAGAAAACCAGTAGTGAGTGATTATCAAAGAAACTATTTTCTATATAAGCAGAACAGTAGCTTTAGCCAGAGATTCCCAAATGGTGTGTTTTGGACATGGTTATGCAAAGATCTGCTCAAGAGACAGAAGTGGGTATTTCAAGCAGTGACAGTAAAAGCAGTAGGAATGAAAGTTACTTTCTATTGTGCAGAGATCAGTATGAAAGGTGATTAAATATTACAAATAATTTGTTAGTGTTTCATTATTCTGAGCTACTGTTTCTTATGAAGAATGTCAGAATTCTGAGAACTGTAGACGTGGGGAATTTATGTCCATTTCAGACATTAGGAATGGACTGGGTTTGCACGTAATTGTAATATTTGGTTTTTTTCAGACATATCTTATGTATATAATGGGGGGAAAGTTTTATCTTCAGTTCCCTGAATTTCTTCACATGGAGACGGGGGGGCAATGTAACTAAAACAGATAGATGAAAAGAGGAAGTATTGTCTGAAAGTATGCTGAGTCAGCAGGATGCTACAAGACACTGACACCTCCTAGTACACATATATTAAATGACTTTTAAGATGAGCAGGACTTCTAAATGTAACTGGAATTATCCTTCATTAATTTCTTCAATTTTCTTCTTTTCAAGTTCCATTCCAATGCTGAGAGACAGAGAATGGGGAGAAGGATTTACTGTCAAATGCATTACCTGATTATTAATTATAGCTATTTCATTTTTTTGAAGTCTAAAATGTACATTACACTTCTAGATGCATTGTAATTTTAACTCTGCTTGCTTGGTTAAAGTAATGCACACAGATTATTGATGCTAGTTAGCTCTGTATTAATAAACAACAGTCTCCTAGAGGGAGTGCTTGTAGTGAGTTAAGAAAAATGGTCAACATAGTATTCTGTTATTCTTACAGATTTTTACACTGGCACAGCGTATTAAGGGTTGAGACCCATGAAATTCTGACTTTGAAGTAAACCAAATAAATTACCTTGCAGGAATGTGATCTTAGTATGATTATTGAAAAAACAAACAGAAATAAAAACAAGCACCCTCCTCCCTGCCAACATTATAAAAATTCCATAAAGCCTTTAACATGAATATCTAACAACTGTTTAATCTTATATCTAACCAAACAGCCATTGCTTCTTTATCCAGCTGAATTATTTTGATTCATACCTTGACTTGCAGATGAATTGAGATTCAGAGTTTTACTGAGGTGCTGAAAAAAAAGTTAAGATATCAGACATTAAAGGACGCTAATTTTAAATTGAGACTTGGTGCTGAAGGTGAAATATGGAAGCTTTGTAGTAGTTGCTTTTATCTGATGATTCCAAGGAGATTTAACGTTCCTAAAGCAAGCTTCAGAAGATGATAATATTAAGCTTTGAGCCATGTCTACACTGTACAGTATAGCACTGAACAGAAATACCTGAGCTAGCCATTGAACTGAAAGCGTAAATGTCTTAATAAGCTGCTGCATAAATTAGCTAGACGTTTCAGAGTTCTTAGCCTGAGTTCACCACAGTACTGATGCAGCTGTATTGCTTGCTGCCAAATGAGGGTATCGGTGCCCAGCACTGCAAAGTGTACTGTGTACACATCCCTGACTTAGCACTGAGTAAAATACCAAACTCTGTGCTGTGTGGAAATACCTTCAGGCTTGCTGTGCTGAAGATGCATCTCTGTCAATGGCTGTTATACAGGTCACTTTCACGGCTTTTTCTGGTTTTAATGAGCATTTAAAGTGGTGTTATATAGGTTTGTACTGACAAATAGATACATTAGTAGTGGCTTTACCAAAAATATTTAGTCAATATTTCTTACTGTGTTGTAAACGTGTGGCTTTTTTTTTCCCTGGCCCTTTTGACAAACAAAATAAACTATCAAATGTTTCAAAAATGTTTGCGATGCAGCATGCGCGACCTTTTACATATGTTTAACGGCTAATGACTTAATTTAAAACTTTCAATTACAAAGTATGGCACAAAGAATAATAAAATTATCCACAATGCAGTGTTTGTACATAGGCCTCCATTCCAGTGCTAAATATCTTCTCTAGAAATATTAAGTCAGAAGCGTAATAATTGTCCACTTCAGACCTGTATTACCTAGCAAGTAACTTAATTCTATCATAATAGTTTAGAATGGAAAACACAATCTTGCTGGTGCATGTAATTAACAAACTTTGTATATACCACCGAAGAAGTGAAGTCAGGGTTAGATAAAGGGGAACTATGGTTTTTTTTTTAAGCTATCCGTTACTCTTTCTTCATTGCAGTATTAGTGTTATCCATAAGATTCATCTGATTACCTCTGACGTCCAGTCTGCACTCTATTTCAGCTTCACCACACTCATTAACAGCTTTACAGGTATAACAGCCACCATCAAACGGAGAGGGTTTCCGGATCTCCAGGGTCAACACACCCTGTTTACTGAACATGCGGTATTTGGCATCCCCAGAAATATCCATTTTGTTTTTGTACCAGAATATCTTTGGCTGAAGAACACAAAAGAAGAATTTTTAAATAGAAGGTAGAAAATGGAAGACTTAGGGCTGATCTTACAGCTTTAATTAGCCATCAAAGTTTTATGCATTATGAGGGCTGTATATTACACAGCAGTGTTAATAATTTTTCAAGGAACCCCTCCTCATTCACTACAAACTCGTGAAACTAATAATTCAAATGCTTAGTATTTTCTTTAACTCTCAAATAGCATGTAGAGAATATAGGTCTGTGCCCTATTTTATTGCAATTTTTAAAAAAACCCTACAAACCGGCTACAAATTCATTCCTTCAGGAGTGATTTAATCATGCTTATTAATATATATTTGAATGCTTCAAGTATCTTACAGAAGGGGAATTAAACTGCACAGATTATTAGAGCAGAAGTGTCATAAAGGTCTGTGGATGTTGGTGGCCAACTTGGGATGCCAAAATTTGGGCTGGGAAAGGATTTTCCAAACCATTTAGCATATCTTTAGCGACTTCAGGAATTTCAGAATAAAGTTCCTGTTGGCTTCAGCTGAGCAATAAAGTGGTTGGCTCTGTACTGATTCAAGCCATTGTGTTTTGTTTCTGGTACCTGAAAACGTGCCTTTAATTTTTATAAATGAAATTTTGAAAATGAAAAATCTGACATAAAGCAAACTGCTTTTGTTTATTTCAAGCTCATTAATATATATATATAGTGAAGAAATCAGCTTTAAAGAGTAGAAGACCAAGCTCTGCATTCATCTGTTTTACTTTCAGAATTAACATCTTCTGTTTCTTCACCCATAAAAAAATAAAACTACTGTACTGTTTTATAGAGTGCATTTAAATCTACTGAATCACTTGTCTTTGACCTGTGATATACAGTTCAGTGCATCCCAATTGCCATGCTTCATTTTCTTTAAAGATATCAGCTGTATTTTTTTCCTGCCTCAAAATTTTTTGCTTCTTTTTCTATAGCTTCTCTAGCTTTCTGGGTGTATGTCTTTGATTTCAACACTGCCTCCAGGACATGAATATTGGCTCTGCTTGAAGTGGTCACTTTTTCTTGCCATACAGATCGTATCTGAGGTATACTTGATAACCTATAGTTATTCAGAATTGGAAAGCTCTATCAACATAAGCTACTCTCTGTGAAAAAGACCTGTTGCAGAGTTCTGCAGTAGATACAGAAACTTTTTGTTAAGGTTAGTTTGGGCAATGCAAGTACAGAAGTGCATCTGGAAAAGAGCTGTTTTAAAAGTATTAGGTGTACTGAAGGATGAGGACTATTTGTATCCTTCAGGCTAATGTGGAAGGAAGAGCTAGCACGCTCACATTCAAAAGCCTGTGACTACTGTATTTAACAGCTATAAAATATGAAGTTTTTCTTAGAATCTTCTTAAAGCCATGGAAACTGAATGAAGTGGATACTGATGCACAAAAAGGTCAGTTAACCAAGTGGGAATATAATTTCATGATGAGTCTAAGTTGAGGCAGCTACTGGAGGATGGATTTTTGCCTACAGTTGCTGGTATTTCTTCTATAGTCGTCTTGTTCTTTTGCAGCTATTTGCGTGGGTATGCTTCCTTTTTATTTTTGAGTTTTGTCTGGAGCTCCGTCTTCATCCAATGAACTGCAGCAAATGATTGCATTAAGACTATCTTTTTTTTTTTTTTCCGAGTTAATTTGAACTTTGAGCAATTATGTTAATGTTTTGCTGTGTAGCTATCAGATCCTTGTGCAGGCATGAGGAAAGGAGAGGAGCTGGAAATAAGCAGCCAGAAGGGGAAGGGAAAAGGGTACTGTATTTTTTGTGATTGTACTAATTTAAATTTATGACAAGATTATGCCATAATATGGTAAATGCCTTCACTGCAGACAAAAAGCCTATTTCCCTTTTTTGAGAAACCTAAATTTAGCGCCTAGCTGATACAGTTTTTACTGCTTGTTCCTGCATCTAACAAAAAAGTACATCTTTTTGTACTCTTTGAAGAGACTTCAACAAATATATTTAGACTGAGAAAATATTCCTGTGAGATTAAAAAAAAAAAGGCCCCGAACTTCACACATGACAGCAGGTCTTATTCTAGTTAATTTTGCAAAATAACTCAGACTCCTAAAAAGTTATGTGGATGTATTGACATAACAGAAAAACTGGTGTTGCTGTGTATCATTTAGGTTAATGGAACAGTATGTTACATTAGCTGCTGTTCTCTTGAAAGATTGAAGAGAACAAAATATACATTGTGAGAAGATACTTTTCTTGTTGCTGTTGTTTACCTTCTTCAGTGAGTAGATTTTATGTACACCTGGTACATTTTCAATGGCATGGTGTTACCATAAGCAATGACTCTCCTTTCCTCTGTCTCCTTTACTGTTGCCCCACTGGTTCTGTGCACAACCACACAAAGGCTTGCACCATGCATTCTGGTTAAGCGTTAGTTATGAGTGAGGTGGGAGATAACTGGGTGACCTTTACTTTTTATATAGCCATGTTACACTCCAGTCACACTGAACTGGCATGAGTTCTAAGGCAGCATCTTGGCTTGTTGCAACAGTATCAAGGACAGTTGATGTAATCTGTACCTTGGGGATTCCTCTTACAGCACAGCTGAGTGTGGTGTTGTATCCTGCAATCACAGAACGGTTTACTAAAGGGTGAGTGAATTTAGGAGGTTCAGAGAAGTCGTGTTCTTTGTAACTGGGTGGCTTATAAGTGGTTCCTGCAATTCAAAGAAACAAAATAGTAAGAACTGTGTTTTCAATTCTGTTGACTTGTGTACAATCTATTTTTCATTTAATTTGCCTGTATGATTTAGAGAACCTTCAAAGCTATGGCATTTATGATATAACAAATCTTTAAATTCACCTCACACTCAAACACATCTCATGTTTAATGCTTTAGTTAAAGTAAAAGGTCCTGGCAATCATGGGTTTTCAGCTTCTGTTAAAAATATGAAAGCCATATGTCTGCAGGGGAAGTCTTCACCACAGACATCTTAAACTTTTAACCCCAGAATGTAAATATAACCCCCCAGTTGTATTATTTTCTTAAAATAATATAGTTTAGGAAGACTGTGTGATTAAATATTTTTGAACAGATGTTCGTGTTAGTACAGGAGATCTGCCTAGATAAGGGCTCTTGATGCTAAAATACTTAATAAGTGTTAGATACTAAGTAATGAAAATATCTCTAGTGGTGCATCTAGTAATACTGTATTTTCCATTTACCAATGTATTACTTCTGGTACTTAGCAGTTTTTGTGATCTTTGTTTTGAAGAATATGTTACCTGTTTTTTGGATATAGGCAGGATTTTTGGTGGTTGCAGCAGTTTCACTCAATCCACACAAATTTTCACTGAAGATTCGAAAAAAATACTCATTTCCCATTATCAGGTCTGACACTACACAGTTTGTGCGACGATAGTGATCAAAAACAGTATACCATTCCTGCAACAAGACTATACTGTTTAGAAAGATGCTATGAGAGGTCAGACATGGTGCTAGTTTTGATATCCTTCTTGCTACAAGGAAAAGACAGATAGAAAGGTATTTAATACTGGCCTGCAAAATGAATATTATGTTGCTTTCCATGAAGATCAGCTGATGTATTTTCTTACTCTTATTTTCTGGCTGGTGTGATAGATGTATGAATACTTGCATTTTGAGGAAAAAAAAAAAACCCAGAAAAGCCCCAAAAAACCTCTTTACATTTTAGCCCTACTCATATCTGGGGAACCTGATACAGAATGTGTCCTCAGGACATGACTACTTGATGGGGACTTCCATGAGAAAGATGTTTTCCAGTTTGACTGGCATACATACCTCTCCCAGTATATAGCGTAGTATGCCCAGCATCTGAATTCAAGTCTAACTCTTCCCCTCCCCCCTTCAGTTTTTCCCTGCATTTGTGAAAAATATAATTGCAAATAAAAAATACAATTCCATCTTCTGAGCAGAGCTATCTATCCAGTCACTACCAGAGATGAGACAGGCTGGGTCTCTCTTTACATTTTCTACCAGGCATTTTATACAGTTCTATGCTTAGCCTTTTGGTTCTTTTTAGGTTCTATTCTTCAGTGTTTAACTGCCTCCGATATGCCATAGGACACCTTGGAGACACAACTGAGAGTCATGAATTCCGCTGTTTTCCTCAAGTCTCTGTGTTCCTAGAGCAGGTAGTAGTTTAAACTCCATACAAAGTCACTGACTCAGTGTAATTTCTTACCATTGTCTTTTTGTCAGCTTTCTGAACTGTGTAGCCCAAGATCTGTGCATTGCCATCATCTTGTGGAGGTGTCCACTCCAGGGCTGCATTAAATCCCCAAACGTCTACAAGCTTTATATTCTGAGGAGGACCAGGCTTGTCTGCAGAGGAGACATAAAAAAACCCTTAGCTTTTGGTTCAAGATATAAGAGTTTTGTCACTTTCTCCCATGCAGGGGAAAAATAGAACTTGATAGCAATCTTCAATTGTTCCATAGCAATACACTTCATTTATGTGAAGTTGAAACTGTAAACAGGAAAGTTGGGAAATCTTCAAATACCCTCTTAATACTCTTCTGAGATGCCTGAAACCTACTCAATAGAATTAGTAACATAGGAACCAAACAGACTCTTCCTTAAAATGGAGTAAGAAGTTTGTGTTGTTTGGATGGGTGTGATTAACTCTTTTACTACAGTTTTATTACTTGCTTTGTTACCTCAGTGCAATTTCTCAGCCATTTAGGTACACTGAGAGTAATATAAACAACAAAGGCAACTGGGCATATATTCCTCTCAGCTAAGGAAGGCTGGCCATTTGGGAATATACCTGACTCTTCCTGTTGCCTCAGTGCTTGTTAGCTTGCCCACTAGTGACAGTTCTCTGTCATAACTAGAAAAAGAACAAACTCTTTTTAAAGAGGTACATAAGTCTATGTCCATTTTAAGATACCTGGAAATATATAGAAGAATATATAGTATAAAATTATAACAATTTTCTTTTTTACTTCTTTTAAGGATCATTCATATTTATGCTGATGTTGTTTAGTCAAATGCTGTAACATTTAAATTAGATTTATTAAGTAGTATTCCTGTCTGTTTTATCTTGAAGATGCTAGTTCCCCTTTTTGATATCTTAGACTGTTGCTCACAGTTACAGGGCCTGTTGGGGAGATGATCGTTAGGCCTGGGTAGATGGGCTTGTGATTAAGTGAAGGATAGTTCGGGATCATTTTAGATACGGAATGGAAATTGTCTCCCCAATTTGCGGCTAAGCTGGAAAAATGAAGAAAATAGTAAGAATCTGATGGATGTAGGTTTAAGATGAGCAAAGCATGATGGAATGTAATTATAGATTGCTTGTGATTTAATTCCTTAAAGAAGGGTGTGCAAACCAGTAATAAACAGCCTTTGACTGTTATTAGGGGAACTTTCTGCGTGACTTTCTATATCAAAGCATAATGTGCTTTTCACTGGCATACTTTGCAGTCAAAGACTGCTTTATCATTAGCTTTAACCCTTTTTGTCCTCTTTCAAATTGCTGAACACTGGAGCCAACTAGAACACTGCATGAAGTTCAATAAGGAATATGGAATGCATTGTTCTCATTCCATTTATCGTCCTCTTCTTTGCTCTCTTACATTAACATTTCAGACAAAAAGCTGGCACCTTCTGTGTTTCTCAACAGCTACCAAATTCAGGTGAAACCTTCCTTCTTTTTCTTCCCTGTTTCTGAAGTAGGGAATGGTAATCTGTTGTCAAATGAACAACCTTGCTTATGAAGGTGTGGAAATGTATTTGTTGTTATCTTGAATCACAACTTAAAAGAAACACATCTAGAAATGTATCTAGATTTTATCTTCGTTATACAGAAATCAATTTACCTATTCTGATTTGAAGAGAATCATTTTGGATACTACATATGAATACCTGTGTGGGTATGAAAATTGCAACAGTCTCAGTAGGCAAAGCTCTACACTCTGAATAAGTGTATTATAATCTAATAGTAGACAGATGTTGTGATGTTTGGCAATTAATTATTTTCCAGTCTACCTACTGTTATAACCCTCCACAGTATCTGCCCAGTTTTACAAGCATTTTTCCTTTGTGCTTACCTACAGATATATCTACACAACAGTTGTTTTTCGTTTTAAAGGGACACTTCCACTTTGTCCAAAACCTGTGAAGATCTTGATGATGGTAATTGGTTTAAACACTATAGGAAGAGATTGATAATCGGAAGAAAAATACAGTCTTAGGTGCAATTGAAAGGAAAGAGAACGCTTTTTGGGGACGCCTCACTGGACAGATGGATCAGCCAAGGAGAATCTTCATCCTTTATTG